GCCATCCTTCTCTCTCTCTGTCTCCCCCCATCTCTGGTTCTCAGGGAGTAGACACTCTGCAGCACAGTGCACAGCACCCACAACCACCTTCAGGGACAGCCACCGTGACAAATCTTGAGAGATCATGTTTTTAAAACTTCCTTCAGTAGAAGTTAATGGCATAAAGCCTAAGCACAGTTCAATTCAAAAGTAATTTCACAAAGAACTGAAATTATTTAATAGTATTAATCTCCACCAAAAACAGAACATCACTATTTATGTGTATGCATATATTAGGTTAAGAACATAAGTGAACATTCAATCAGAAACCAGAAGAATAGAAGAACGATGGGATGAACTTTTGAAAATTCTATTAATAGATTTAGGTAAATATCATCCACCCAAAGCATTAGGATAGTGCAGCAGCCCCCCAAATCTTATTCTCTTGTTTTAAACTACTTTTCTGTGAAGCCAAACTACAATTCATTTCCATTTTATTGATGGAAACAGTCATAGAGTAAGAAGCATAAAACAGTCTCCCAAAATGACATTCAAGTCAACAATCCAAATTCAATTATAATGTCACTCAGTTCAGTCAGTTCAACAACTATTTATTGCAAGCCTATAGGTAGACACCATAGGGAATTCAGAAACGAATGACAACAGACCCTGACCTCAAGAATGTGTGGTAAGGCCTAAGGAGATAGGTAGAAGATGCAGAAATGGGAAGGAAAAGCAACCAAAAAACCCTCCTACAATATCAAATATCATCAAACAAGTACCCAATAAGGCATTAAAAAGCGTTCTAAGATATCACATACTTTTGTAAAGGCTGTCATTTGAGATAAGCCTGTAAGAAACACTAGAAAGATGGATGGAAGGAGAAGGATTAGGGAAGAATGAGCAGAATGAATAGCAAAGAGGTAGAAACACAGGGAACCTGAAGAAGCGCCGTTAGAGTATTTAAAGAAAAAAAAAAAACAGGCAGAAGAGAGGCAAGCAAGTAGGCTGACGCCACATAGTAATGGTCTTGATTGCTATGGTGAAGAGAGTGTATATAATGCAGTAGGGAAATAGTCTAAGACTTCAGATCACATGATTACAGTTGTTGATCAATTTATTCATCTTTATAACCATACTGTTTCTATAATAGGAAATATCTTTTGGGAAGCAAAAAAACTGAGACAAAACTAATTGAAAAGAATGTATGTTATCTACATCTTTGCATGAAAGTATCTGATTCTTACAAAGAAGAAACCTGTTTGAAGCAAATTACTACCTTCTATTATTAAGTTTTAACTCAAGTCCATTCTCCTTGATAAGAACCTGTCTCAGAAGATCAAACTGTCCTGATTATAGTAATTGCATATCTCTATGCAGACATCCATGAACTAAAAGCCTTGTCCCAGATATAGATGTTTTAGATCACATTTATGTCTCAGTAAAGACTTACTCAATCTCAGGCTTAAACTTGTGTCTATTTTGTAAAGAGAAAATACTCCCATGTTTTGTATTTAAAAATTTTTGTATGCCGTCTTGAACCATCGATTAATAAAAAATTACCATCAGATATGCCCAATAATATGACCCATGTCCATTTTATAGAGAATATTCATTTGAATTAGCCCTCTGTTTTAATCTTTTGCTCTCGGTCTATATGCAAACAGAAAATTTATACTAGTGACAGTATGTCTCAACAGAGATATTCTCTTTGAAAACTCCACAAATTAGTAACATTACAAAACTTTTTTTTAACTCCAATGAGAGCAGAAAATAATAGAAAAAGATCAAACTGAAACAAATGTAAATGGTTTGCTAAAAATAAACTACTTGTCTCTAGAACATAGCAATATTAGAAAGTTTAAAAAGGAAAAATTCCCTGGTATCTTAAACTATTTTTGTTCTCTATATATGCTAATAAATGTGCTGCATTAAGTCACATTTAAGAGTAATAATCAGGCCAAAATCCAACTACATATTTTTAGGGCTTTTTTTCCTCATTTAAATTCTAGAATTCTTCAACACTATACATCCTGCTCCTTTGACAATGCTATTAAGCTGATTTTCAATCAGTTTAGGATGATAAAAGGATAAATAGATGATTTTAGACTTACACAATTTAGAATATTCTAAAGCTTATTTTTCTCTAAATATTTGTGCTGAGAAATGCTATTTACTATGAGCAAATACTTTTCAGATATACATGGAGTACACTCAATCCTAAGAGTAAATTCATTATATGATAATGAAGATGTAATCATAAGAGAGATATTTTAAAGCTATATTCTTGGAAAACTCATAATTTTTTCATAATCACCAACAATGATGCAAGGTGATTGTTTTTTTTCCATTGTATTTATTACACCACAAGAATGTATTCAAAGTATAGGTCTTTACATGTAGGAAGTGCTATATAAATGTTGAATGAATATTTAATTTCAAGGAAAATGGGAATATTTGAATTTCAAGGAAAATAGGAATATAATAACTCATTACTGTAAATTCCCAGTCAACAATAAATGGAGAGTTGAAATATCAGAAATATTTCATATAGGGAAAACAAAATATTAAGGTTCATTAAGAGATTTGGGAAAGAATGGGAATATTAGAAATTAGCAATTTCTCTGATTGCCCTCTGGTGGCAATAAAGTCAACTACAGCACTTCTAAAGTTATGAATAATAAAATGCCACTGTTACGAAATCAGATTTTTTCCCCTTGTGCCACATGTCTGTGATAAAAATCCTGATTGCTATATGCCAAATTTCAAGAGTGTTTGTCTTTTTAAAAAATGTCCTTATACCAAACTTTTAGCTAGACTACAAAGGAAACGATATTTTTTCTTCCACTTTATGGTTATATTTTATATATTCAGTATGCTGACCATTTAATTCCAAGATTGTTTCATGAAACTATATGTAGACTGATAACTAGGAAAGAAGCTACTTCAGCTTGTAATACATTTCCCAAAGTTTTGCCTAGAAACTTAAAACTCTTCCTTTCTTACTCAATCCTATAAATATATAGATTTCTAGAGTAGTTTCGACCAGAAATATTGGGTTGGTTTATAGTACCTGTATCTTGTGTTGAACAATTTAGATATTTTATATTCCCCAAAGAAAAGGCTTTTAATTATCTGGCCAATTTTAGAGTGAATCAATTTCATTCTCAATTTGAGAACTTCGAATATTAAATTTATTGTATATATATTCTTTTATTTAACATTATTAATGAAAAAATTCCAGAAGAAAATTTACATTTACTGACTTTTTTTTTTTTTAACTGTAAAACACATTACTTACTTCCAATGCCAAAGACGTTTTCCAATAAACAACTTCGGGTACATTTCGGCGCGCACAACTCTCTAACCTCCTTTGCGATGAATTAAGTTGCTTTCTTTAAGCATTTATTTATTCCATTAAGATGCCCATTAAAAGTATTGTTGCATCTTTTCAAATAAATGTGTTGCTTTCCCAATAGGTAAAAATCTTACTTTTTTTAAACCAATGAAATGTATCAGAAAAATAAGCAGAAGGTATGATGTGATATAAATAATATTTGGTCAGGAACAACTGATATGCATCTATGAAAAACAATAATATGTGAAAAAGACAAATCAACATCCCGGGAATCTGCGTTTTATCCACACCTAAGTGCTGTCATCATGCTGCCACCTGCTCTCTGCCCTCTATGCCCCAACTTACACACCCCCTCCAATCTAAACTGTAGCGGGGAGTCAGTATCTGTCCTTCTTCATAAGAATTTACACCAGGGGCAGGCACAGTGTTCTGACTGTCAGAAGTCTCAACCTGTAAAATTTCATTCAAGGACTTCCTTCAAGATTCACCACACCTCCCTAGCCTTGCATCTGAGACATATTTGATGTTTGCGGATGCATGTATACTTTCTGAGGAATCACTTAACCATTTTATTCTCTCAGAATTAAAACAAAGCAAAACCTTGGTTATCAAAACTAGAAGTTTTTGTTTCCTTTTCTTTTCCGTCCAAGTGTTTTTTTCTCATTTAATCGCCTCTCGAAGTCTACCCGAGTTCACAAATCTCTGCCAAGGTCTGTCTACCTATTTCTTCACTTTCTTCCTAAGGGACAGAAATAGGGAGCTGGCACCGGGTTCCTACTGGGTAAGGTCCTCGAGGCAGCTGGACCTCCGGCTCAGCAGCGCCTCGCCCGGAGAGGCCAGGCGACGCGGGCCGAGAGGTGTAGCGGGTTCCAAACTAGCCCGAGGGGCGCGGTTCCCGGCCGGACGCGCACCTAGCTGGAGCAACCTCAGGAGCAGGAGGAGCAGCCACTGGGGAGATGCTGAGGCCAGGGACTCCCGGCAGGGGCAATGTCAAGGCACTCGAAGGAAGCCCCAGCATGTTCCCTGTCTGCGAGGCGGGCCGGAAGACGGGCCAGGGGTTGGTTACCAGAGGCAACCCCGCCCCACTTCTGCCACTCCTTCCTTCCTCGGCGCCTCGCAGCACCTACCTACCCCGCCCACCGCCACTGCACGCTCAGCCCGACTCGGAGAGGGAACTTAGGTGGGGATCGCCTCCGGGAGGAAGGTGCGGTCACAGGGATTTTCTCCAGCGGGAGTCCTGTGAATCCCGATTGCCACCACAACCCCCACCCACGGCCCCCATCACGCACTCGCTCAGCTTGTCTGGGCAGCAGGGAAGGAGGAGGGGCCGGGGAAGATATAGCGCAGGGATGCCAGCTCCTGGGGAGGTATCCAGGGAAGGAGGTTTGCTCTTACACCAGAGACCTCCCTGGTGACTTGGGGGAGACGGTACCACCCCTGACGCTCAGATGAAGCAAGCCCGAAATCCTCAAGAAAAACCCGTTTCCACCATCCTTCTCTAGCCAACTCTCATCTCCCCAGGTGGGAAGCCCAAGTTTACCCGAAAAACAGTTGCAATAACTTTCCCAAGGGCAGACAGATGAGAGATGGGGGTGGCTTGAGAATGGGAGTGCCAGAGAGGTTTCAGCTGTGAACAAAATCAGCCAACGAAAGTGCATCTTACCATTGATTTGATTTCCAGGCTCCCCTTCAGTGAACTGAAACCGGTCCAGTAAAAAGTGGCAAAGTAACACAACTCCTGCAGCGGCGAGGTCGGCCCTCGGGAACCTCGCCATGCCGCCGCTGCGACCTCCCTCGCCTCCCCGCTAGTCCTCCTCCAGCGCCCAGTGTTCGGGGGACTCCCGGTGAGAATGGGGACAGCCGGGCGGAGAGCTGCAGACCGGTCTGGGCTGGACCAGGAGGCCTTTGTAAATTTCGCTGGGCTTTCACACCCGGAGCTGAGAAAAGGAAGAGGGGAAAGCGAGCGGCAGTGCAGTCCTCTCCGGACTCCCGGGTCTCTTCGCGACTTGTCACAGCACTCGCAGCCCTCACCCCAAACAGAACGGCAAACGCGGGCAAGAAAGACCACTTGCAACCGGGGCTCGCTAACTCTCGGCTCCACACGGGCGGCACCACCCTGGTGCCCGCACAGTGACTTCTGAACCCCCGCGATACGCTCCTCTAGGTTCAAAACAGATCTAATTCCACAGCCGGCGCGGCTGCCGCCTCCAAATCCAAGAGGGCTGTCGGCTCAGGAGGAACTTTCCCCAGTGTTGGGATGGCTCCCGGGGGAGGTTTGGTTTTGCGGGAAGAGGGTTAACGTGGGCTGGCGAAACCCCTCCAACAAGTTTTTCTTCTTTTCTTCGCCCGACGTCGGACGCGCGTCGTCTCTCGCAGCCACAGGGATGGGCAGCCCCAAAGAGCTGAGTCCTAGGAAGGCTTGGGCTGCAGCAAGCAATCTGAGGTCCGAAGCCAGAAATATGTGTCTTTAAAAAAAAAAAAAAAAAAGGAAGAGGAAGAAGAAAGAAATGGGGAGGGGGTAGTCAGGCCGAAATCTATTGGGAGAGGGTTTTCCTCGCTGAGGAGGAGGTGGCCCCGAGCCCCACTGAGCCCCTGGAGTTTGGTGGCGGAGGGGGCGCCTCCACCGCCGTGCTCCCCCGCGCTCCCGCTCCACACTTTGGGGAGGGAAGGCAGCTCGCAATTTGCCAGGTCTGCCGCGGCACTCTCCTCCCTCCTCTCTCTTCCCTCCCCTTCGCCCCTCCAGCTTCTCCCACCTTCCTCCTAGAAACCAGCCGTAGCAGCGACCTGCCCTAGGGCTGCAGTTTCCTTGGCGCTGCCGGCGGAGTCGCCTAAAGATTAAGCCAGGGGAGCAAACCAAGGGGGAGTGAGAGGGCAGCTCCTGCCTGGCGCGCCCCGGCAGCCGGCGGCCCAGAGCCCCGGGAGAGGCGGCGAGGAAGGCGAGCTGGGAGGGGAGGGCCAGGAGGCACCACCGCATCCCCGGGACGCCATCCCTGCACCGGGCTCGCGCCTTTCGCAGGCCCGCAGCCGCGCCAGCCCCCACCTGAGCCCCCGGCCTCCTTGCGCCCGACTGCGGGGGACCCCGCCCTGCTCTAGCGGCCGGCGGCCGCCGGCGGGGTCTTCCTGGACGCCAAAGGGTTAATTACAGTTCGCCATTCCCGGGTGGGCGTGTGTGTCAGTGGTTGGGGTGTGAAGAAAGCAAACCAGAACGAGTTCGGTTACTGACCCCGAGAAGCCCTCTCGGCCCCGCAGACCCGCGAGGCTGGAGGAGGAAGGTAACGCTGGGCAGCGTGGACGAGCCGCCGCCGCTTTGCAAAGTGTCTGCGGAACGAAAGCGAGAGTTTAAAGAAACAGGAGGCCCACTGAATTTCCTATGGGGCTTCAACAGAAATTCGCTCACTAGTATGTTTTTGTTTTATCAGCTTCAGCGTTAACCCTTTCCAGTTTGCATAATCTCAGGTTAAAGGGATAAATACAAGAAAAGGAAGCAAAGAACATTAATTAAAACTACTGATTCTAGAACCAGACTGCCAGGGCTGGAACTCTACCTCCCTTACTGAACAGCCAAATGACTGAGAGGTTTACTTAATCTCACTTGTGCCTCCGTGCCTCACCCATCAAATGGGAAGATGGTAGTGATTTCCTTAACAAGGTCCTGGTATTAGATTAAGTGAATTAATACTGTATACTTACAGAATTGTGAACAGAGCCTTCAAGAATTATGAACAGCACCTGGCACAAAGTACATGACTTTATGTTTCTTAAATTAGAAAGGAGAGGAAAGGAGAGAGGCCTAAACCAGTGGAGAGTTTGCTTCAGTATTAAGGTCAAAAGGTCTTGTTAGTCTGTTCTTGTCCACTCTATTCCACACCCTGAAGAGTTTAGGGAAGCCATTAATAATCCCCTGTGAAAACGAATGAAGAAAACCTAATTCAGAATGAGTCAGGAAGCAGTATCAGAAGGTTCTAGCTACTCTTCACAACTTACTTTATGTACCTCAGCAGGAAGAAGGCAGATTTTTCTCCCCGCCCAGCAACAACCATCCAGTGAGAGACCACCGGAACCCCTGGAACTCCTCCAATGAACTTTTGCTCAAAACAACACCTCCCAGCTCCCTCTTTTCCTCTATAAAAGGCACACACTTCTCTATAGTCAGCCAAGTTTGTCCCAAATTGTAATTATTTGGCTATTTCCAAATAAGTTTTTTGCTGGTTAAATAAATAAATTTGGCTGTCTATTTTGAAGATTGACACACCTTAGTTTTGTGGTAAAACCCACTGGAAGTGGATCCATATTATTCAATTACTCTGCTAATTTGATGCATAAAGAATGGCTCTGTCATGGTTACTTAACTGGCAAGAAGAAAGAAAACAGGAAATTAACATGTTATCCCTAATCCAATGCTCAACTTGCACCTATTTCAGAATACATATATAATTACATATCATACGTTTTATATATTGTAACTCGGGGGCAGGAGGGGCAAATGCCAGGGCAAAATACCTTTGAAACCGAAATCAAAGGAAGAAATAAAGTAGAAGAAACCCGTTTATTTCTTACAAACAGTCATCCACTTCTGCTCTCCCAGCTTCACCTGATGGGGCTGCAGAAGAAGACGCCCCACCCAACGTCTTCTGTCCAGATATACCCTCTTGCCTTTGTAATTACCTATTGATATGGAGATTGACTTACTTCTCTTCACCCCTTGGAAACACCTATTGCTATGGAGATGAACAAAGGTCAGGTGAGAGGTTCTTGAAATATTGCAATTTTACCCACAGACCACGCCTCCAGAAATCTCACCTTACAATCTACTCGTTCTGCATCCTCTGCAATGGCCCCTGGGTGAGAAAACTGGAGCATTGTAACCAGACTAATAACATACAATACCAACAGCAATAAAATCATGATAATCCATAAGCCGAAGGATTCAGCTAGGTTCCAAGTCTTGTGCAGATGAAGTCCATAGCTTGCCCATTCCACAGGCAGGCAGTAGCTGAAGAGGTAGGGAGTTCAGAGCAATCGTCACACAGCAGCTGCAGCCCGGGGACACATCCAGGCCACAGGAACTGCAGAAGAAAATAACCTTAAGGGCAATAAGATACATGTTTTAATGACACCAGCATAGGCAAATCTTGTCCATCAGGTAGGATGCATGCAAGAGAGTGGCCTTGTGATAAAACAGTGGCAGGAATGGGATCTTGTCCTGGTCTAGTATACCATACTTTCAACCCCCGCCCTGTGGGAGGTATAGATGGGTCAGTATATATGGCTACGGGAGGTACATGCATTGGCCATGAAGATAAAACAAAACTTCCCCGCAAGATGCTCTTACCTCCCGAACCTTTTGGGAACACTGCTATGATCTTTGGGGGCCACTGTTATGTTACTCCAAAAATACACAGGAGGCCAGCTTCCAGGCCTTTTCCCCAAGATTCCAGATGGGCCAGCTATCTCTGGTCCATGTGTTGAAATGTTCAGGGACACATCCACTCAACAGTGTCTCAGGGTATAACACAGTTGGGGCTGGCAGCAGGAGGTTGCTCTGCTGGCTTCAATAACTTCTCTTTGATTTGCACATACAGTTGTATAGGAGAGGGAGCAATGTGCGTTAACATATCCACAGGGCTCAAGGCTCCTTTTGGGCTCTTCATTCAAATGCTCTAGCACTCTCCATAAGCAAACTGACCAGCCCCGTAGACTATTGGTGACCAACTTCAGGCCAGATTTCAACAAACCACTGTACCTCTTTCATGCCTACCCCAATAGGGTTACATGGTACATGAAACTTCCACTTTATTCCTAATTACTGCACCCATTCTTGTAATGCATGTCCAGTAAAGTAGGTGCCTTGATTGCTCTCAATCACCTGCAGCCAGCCGTAGGCTGCAAAGAGACGCTCTAGGCTGCTGTCGGTGGTTTGCTGATCTGCAGTACATGCGGGAAAAACAACCAAGAGGCTATTAGCTATGTCCACACAAGTCATGGCATAGGAATATCCTTCTGATACAGCAGAGGCCCAATGTAGTCTATCTGCCACCTGACAAGTGATTTGGCCCCTTTACTATTGTTCAGTGTTGCTGCGGAATTCAATGTAAACCCTCTTAGACCACACAAGGCACTCCTTCCAGGCTCTGCTGACTTTTTCAAAGGTCAACAGCAAGCCCCACTGATGGGCTACAGCCCACATGGTCTTTTTCCCTACATGCAGCAAACACTGATGTAACCATTGGGCTACATCAGAAGCAGACTTTCCTTCTAGCCAGCGCACCTGGGCCAATGTGTCTGCTTCATCATTCCCTGGGAATGCCAAAGGCAAATGGCCAGTCACATGATATACAGTAACTGTCTTAGTCTGACCAGAGGCCCATAGGTCTTGTCACAACTTTTGCCCCCAAAGGGGCTAGTGACTAACCAGCCATTTGGTATGGTACCATGTTGGTAGCCACAGGGTCAAGCCCTAATAGACGGCTCAGGTGTCAGTGTAGACAACTATAGGGGAGGGCTCCTGGGTGATCACAAGCCCTACTGCCCACAACTCAGCCCATTGGCTGCTCTTCCACTCTCCATTCTCCATCCATATTCTCTCAGTCTTAGGATGGGAAGTGGCAACCCTCCACTTTTGGGGCTGCCCATGACTGGGGCTGCCTGTATACCAAGCATCTTCAGGTATATGGACTTTTCTCTCCTGATATGGACTCTAGGCTACCAATGACTCAAAAGCAAGTTTTTCCTGCTTTCCACGTCAATGGACCCAATAGGCATTGGGTTCTCCACTTAAGGGGCTAGTAGAGGGCACTACACTGCTGTAAATATGCGCCCCATTTGGCCAGTGTAGGTGTCTGTGCAACGCCACTCTGTGGCCTTTGGGTCCAGTCTCACACTGACCCCATGATGGGTTAGGTGGTTATTACCTTGGTCACAGCTGTTCTAGTGATGGGCTCCATAGCTTGCAAGGTGTCATACACAGCAGTCAGTTGCTTCTCTGTTAAGGTGTACTGGACCTCTGCTCCTTTCCATAGTTTTGACCAGAATTCAATAGGTTGGTGCATTCATTCAAACTGCTGCCAAAGGTCCCGTCCATAACCATCTTTGGTTAACTAAACATCTAGCTCATAGGGCCTTGATGAGTATGTGACAAAGGGTGGGACTGTGGAGGTATCCCTGTGGAAGGACAGTGAATGTCCACTGCCACTCTCCCCACATGAAGACAAACTCTTCCTGACTTTCCTTTGCTATGTCAATAGAGAAGAAAGCACTAACAAGGTCCACAACATAGTGATATGTCCCTAGTTCATGGTTGAGGTTGTCTATAAGGGCTGCTATAAAGAGGACAGCAACATGCAAAGGGGGTGTGACTTTAATCTGTTCCCTGTTATACATCAGAAGCTGTCTGGCTTTTCCACTGACCACACTGGGGAAGTAAAAGGACTATGAGTAGGTTTTATGAGGCCCACTTTTCCAACTCCTATAGAATTTCTCCAATTTCCTTGTAGGCAATTTATACTGCTTAGTATTTGTCACTAGCCAAGGCACAGGAAGAACTACAGGTTGGTACTTAGCATGTCCCCTTAGAACTGCCTTTACCACACATACCCTCAGTCTGAACTGACCTGCAGTGGTCTGTAACCACAGTCCCTACAGGATATTGACCCCCAAAATACATTTGGGGATGGGAAAAGTGTACACAGTATACTTCTTTGGGGGCATATGCCCTATCCCCAATGGGATTTGGGCTTTCTTCACTCTAATTGCGTTACCCCCATAGCCACCTATCACAGCAGGGGTCCCAGGAAAATGCTCAGGGTTGCTGTAAATTGGAAAACATTCAGCTCTGTGTCCACCACTGCCAGGACACATTGTACATTCATGGGGGATGAACAAATTACTAATTCTACATGTGGCCTCTGGTCCCCATCATGTCCCCCAAGGTAACTTAACCACTCTCCCCTCAGTCAAACTGTGATGCCCAATCATCCTTCTGTAGGGGTGAGGGTCCAGGCGGAGCCTGAGTACTGTCCCCTAGGAAGTCTTGCAGGGACACAGGCCAGACATAGGCCTCTTTGACTCTGGCTTTCATGTCCTGGACCACTGTGGCTGGAATTGCTGCTCTGGATTTAAGTGGTGCCACAGTTCTAACAAGATCCTATTGGGCTGCCCATCAAGTTTTCCTTTCATCCTTTAACAAATCAATCCACATCTGTGTCCTCAAGACCTTCACAGGGCCCTTTGCACCTCTCCTTTCATTCGTAACCTTCCATGCTATCATTGTTTCAACCTCCCTATATCTGTTAAAGTATGAGTAGCCTCACTTATGGGTTGCCCTATGTGGGGGGCAAGAATAGTTACTAGGGACCCAAAGAGAGATGGGGGAGCTGTATGGAGCACGAGATTTCTCATTCCTATGGTGAACAACTCCTCATTGCAAGCCTGGGGTCCATATTATAGATGATATTTTTCATTT